TGGGATCACATTTCTGATGTATCACGAAGATGCGTTTAGTCAGGGCTGGTGAGACAGTTTGTCTGTCCCGTGCTTGCCACAGAAGCCTGAGGACCTGAGTGTTTCCTCAAGACCCATGGGAAACGCAGGCACAGCGACCCACATGAAGTCCCAGTATTTGGGGGACAGGGGTGGAGACGGTGGGCTCTCTCGGGCTCACTGGTGACCGTTGTAGATTATTATTTTAACTAGGCAAGATGTGTTACATTTGTTTATGCTGCAGAATGTTACTTTGACTGTGTAAAGGTGTGTTATATTTGTTTGTGCTGCAGGTGTGTTTACAAAAGGAAAAAGCCTGGTGTAGGGGAGCCCCAGTCCAGTGAGAGGTCCTGTCTCACAAAACAAGGCAAACAACTCCTGAGGAGCACAGGATGTTGACCTCTGGGCTCTACACGCATGTGCATGCATGTGCACAAGCATGTATACACATACTAACAAAAATGCAAAAAGACACGTTAAACATTCCACTTCAGGCCTTGCTGTGGGGTTTTTGTGGCTCAGGACAAGCCCTTGAATGTGTTCTGTAGTTGCTGTTCCCACAAGCTGGATGGATCACTGCTTCCAATCACCATCTCTAATCCAGCGCCGTCTCGGATTGCCCAGGGAAACAGCTCTAAGCTCTTCACTGAAGTGGTGTCTCCCTTGAGATCTAGGCCACAGCCACTTGTGCAAGCTCATAGGATTATGTAATAGCAAGATGTGTACCACCATATAAAAATGGAGGAATCATTTTTGTTATAATCGCATGCAGTATCATTTACCATGGAGACACTTGGATGGCTTTTCCCATGAAGGCACTGACCATAGATGTGGGCTTCGTGACGTGCCCACCTGAGGCCATGTGCTAATGGCCTTTCGTTGCAGACGCCACCATTTGAACTTTGATTTCCATGTGTCATATGATATTATATTCACTCTTATGCTTTTCAGTAATTAAAAACTGTGAAGCCGTCTCTCAGCACAAGAACTTTATATATATATAAACAGTACTGATCTGGTTTGTCCCGGAGGCTGCTGGTTTGCTCACCCCTGCTTATGGTGGCCACGAGAGGCAGTCACTGTCACAAATATCAGAGATGAGCAGCCGATCAGGAGAAATGGGTTGTTGGGCCCACAGGTTTACAGGTGTCATTCCATGGTCACCTCATGGTCAGGAATAGAAAATAGGAAGGATGTCGCGTGGTCTCCTTTAAGGTCTTCGCCTTAATGACAGAAGACCTCCCTCCCGCCTCATCCCCACCCCCCACCGCTTATTATTTCCATCCACTCTCAACAGCCTCAACCTGTGGACTAAGCCTTCAGTACGTGAGCCTTAGGGGGATGCTTCAGATCCAAGCTATAGCAGTAATTCCTCTAGGCCTCTTGATTGTGATAAGAGAGCCAGAGGGGAGGAGAGGACTGAGAGAGAAAGAGAGAGACAGAGACAGAGAGAGAGCAGAGACAGAGAGAGAGCAGAGAGGATAGAGAGAGAGAGAGAGACAGGGACAGAGACAGAGAGAGATGCAGTTTCCAAAAAGAGCCAAGTGATTCTTTGTTAAGGGATGCCATATACTTCCCATTATGCTGAGTGGTCCCCACATACCTTTATTTCTCAAACACGACCACGCCACTTGAAGTCTTTTATCTTCTAAAGACCTATCGTTATGTTGTAGAAAACAAGTGTTTGGCAAACACTTGCCATGTATCTGTGGAAGCAGTATGCAAGGGTCAACTAAAACATGTTTTATGAATTTAAGTTGAAGAACCAGAGGCCACGTATTTGAGAGAGGGTGAGGATGATTACAGGGAAAGAGATTGGGGGAGGAAGAATAAAATGCTAATGTTTCTAAAAACGGAACGAGGCGGATCCGCTGTGGGGTGGCCTGGGTTAACTGAGAATTAATGGAAGGTCTTAACTCCCCATGTTTACTTTCAGTGTTCAACCTGAGTGCCATACATTTAGTTCTGTCTTTACTAGTGTGGTTCTAAAACTAAGCCTACAAGAAATGTTTGCATTTGGGCTTAAGGGTGAGTGGCTGTAGATCATTGTCCTGGTGACATTATGTCCTGGTGGCCACTCCCCAGAAGCAATGACTCACCAGAAGGTTCAAAGAATGGATAGGGCTGAGATTCATTGTAGCAAAATGGCCTGAAACAAAATCTGTAGAGGAAGGTCCAAGGGGAGCGGGGAGCTGGTCAGGCAGGCATTCCTGCCTAGGGTTTAGCAGAATTCTAACTTGTTGTGGGGGAGGGAGAGATTGGGTGAGTTGTGTCCTTTGTCTAAGCTTTGCAAACCACACCCATCAGAGAGAGAACCACAGTGCCACTTCTCAGAATCCCAAGTTCTCAAATGCCAACCAAGAGCCAAGAAGCCTGGCTGTGGTGATGAACACCTCTAATCCCACACTCGAAAGGCAGGGGCAAGTGGATCTCTGTGAGTTCAAGAGCAGCCTGCTCTACAGAGTGAGTTCCAAGACAGCTAGGGCTACCCAGAGAAGCCCTGTCTCGAAAAAAAATGCTAACTCTGGGGGGGGGGGGGAAGCACCAGGTCTGCTTTCTTTACACTGTGTCTGAGCTTAGCACTGGCTTATAGACTAACGATCTGAGAGTTCAAATTCCAGGTCCCTTTGAAGGCTCGGTCACTTAGCTGCTATAGAATTACAGTGTCTTGTAGGCGGAGCTCAGTCTTCTACACATTCTCTGCTTCCCTGTAGAATTGTGTATGTGTGGTGTGTGCACACATGGCTATGTGCATACTTTTGAAATGAGCATGGGTCTGTGTGCCTTGGCATGTGTGTACTTAGTGTGCACGCGCGCGTGTGTGAATGTGGGCGAACCAGCACCCCCCAGTCTTCTGCTGTGTGTGAGGTAGCATTCCCCTGAGCTGTCTTTCCATCTCTTGGCCCCCAATGTACTTCTTACCATTCCTCTGTCTGATTGATGTGGTTATTGCCTGGAAATACTCTCTCAGATCTTTGAAGGACTTACTGGAACTTTAGGATTTTGTGTCAATTTTTGTCTTGAGGCAGGTAAGCTGGCCATTTTTTTTTTCAATATATTTTAGGACCTTCTGTTGTTGAAATCCTGAGGCTACAGATTCCCCATGCCCTCTCTCTTCTCCTTTGAATTATTTTTCAGCTCTCAGTCCCCCATGGCCCTACAGGGCATGGGTTCTCCTTTGCTTTCTACTGAACATTTCCAGAAAAAAAGTCTTCAACTTCTACTATCTCAAGGTTCATTGGTTTTTCATGTGGTAATACATAGCTAGATTCTAAGCTAGTATCAAATGGTGCGTGTGTGTGTGCGTGTGTATGTGTGCGTGCGTGTGTGTGCGCGTGCATGTGCGTGTGTGTGTGTGTGGTGTGTCCAGGATAGAGCAGCAGGAACAGGCAGCCTCCAGACATGCATTCAACACTGCCCCCTCCCATGTAATCCCCATGTATATGTTCATTTTAATATCAGTATTTAAAATCGAAGTGAACTTAGGAGGGAGACATCATTTCATTCAAATATGGGCACTGTCCTTTGTCAGTCATGGGGGCCCTCTGTAGGCTGGGGGGGGGCATGGCTATCCTTTCCTAACCTCTTTAAGATTTACACTCCTGCTCTGCCACGGATCTGTGAGTAGGAACTAGGAGTCAGTGCTACCGTCCACCCGTGTGGCTGTAGGCGGCTATGCAGCTCTCTGGCGATCTGGGTGGTTTGTCACTCGTGAGTGCTGTATTCAAAACATCTGCATTAAAATGTGTCATGCTCTGTCTGGCATGGACGTTTGGGGCCTGTAGAGGCTTTTCTATGTTGGATACACACACACACACACACATTAAACATCTTAGGTTTAGGTGGGGAAGTCCAACAAAGCACATGAGAAGCAGAAAAGCATGCATGGGGAGGAGTCTGACACATGGCCAGGTAGCAGGACCTTGAGTTCCAAGCATACAGCATAGGGGCCACCCCAGGATTAAAGAACCCTAAAGTTATATGGAGTCGGACTGTTTTTAACCTTAAAATGTTCGAGCAACATTTCAAAAGCAAGCAAGCATAGGCTTTCCCTACTGAGGACATTGTGTGGGAATACACCCTTTCTAAGCACACACATGCCTGATACCAAGAAGCTTGCATGTATGTATGACATGGGCCATGCAGCCTTGGGTGTTGTTAAGAGGTCATGTCCTCCCGTCCCACACGGTGCTGCTCTGGGAACCAGACTCCTTCAAACTCAGTCATAGAACAGGCAGACTTGATATACGCGCTGCAGAGATGCTATCCCAAAGAATCCATGAAGCAGTACTGATGTTTTCAGCGTTCTTTGCTAAGGACTCTAGGTGTTATTTAAAGTTTCGTTTATTGGTTAGTGGAATAACGTGTCCAGTGCCAAGCTCCTCTCTGTGTACTGGGATGTTGTGTATCCAGTACCAGGCCCCTCTCTGTGTACCAGGATATTGTGTATCCAGTGCCAGGCTCCTCTCCATGTACTGGGATGTTGTGTATCCAGTGCCAGGACCCTCAGTTCCTGAGTTCCTGGGATGCTGCGTGATACTGGTCGACCAGGTCTTCCCTAACAAAACTCACATCCAGTGAGGGAACAGACATCCGGGTCGCCAGTCACCATGCCTACTATAAAGTAAAGGACAGTGGGTAAGACCAGCTGCAGAGTGTTGTCCCAGTTCTGGAATGGCCTTCGGTACCACAACATTTGAACATGGCCAGGAATACAAAGGAAACTGGGCCAAATGCCAATGGATTCCTGTGTGTTTATGAGGACGCTTCTGACGCAGCAGATCCCACAAGAACATCTGGAAAGTGTCCCCACCGTGTCTGTTAGCTACACCACGTGGATCACTGCAGCGCATGCCACTTCACTGCCATCCCAGGGTTCCCGTGGGAAGGCTGCAGGACTGTCTGAGCAAGTGCTCTTGCATTTCTGATGTGGGCGAGGAGATGGTGATGGTTTTCATTTGTTTTTGTTCTGTTTTCCATAGGGTCCATCCTGCTGGGAAGATGTCTTAATTCCAAACCGCATGAGTGGCGTGTGCCAGTCTCCAGACTGCCCTGGAACCAGAGCAGTAAGTGTCTGACTAAATTCATCCCTTGCGAACTTGGACTCTAACTGCGTTCTCAAGCGTTTCCTAGGAGATTAGGATCCAGGCCGAAAGGCAACAGCTGACCTCGCCCAGCTAGCGATCAGTCTTATTAGAAGTAGGTTAATGTCCAGATGTGCTAACCACATCCACCAAAACTCCCCACATGTTATGACCTTCAGTGTCTGTCACCTCCCAAGTGCTTCTGGTGATGTATAAAGGCATCGGGGAAAGCTTGGAGCGGGGAGGTGGCCTTTCACCAGGATAAGCACACACCAGTTGGTTGTCCAGCGTGAAAGAATACATACAAGACACAAGTAAGATCATAAGGGCTGAGCAGGTTAGATTTAGGAGTATATAAGTATATACATACAGACAGATGCATGCGTGCAGTAACAATTAGTGCAAAAAAGAGGCCGTGGATTTGAAGAAAAGTGGAGACGGATGTATGGGAGGGTTTGAAGAGAGGAAAGAGAAGGGGAAGTATTGTCCTTATAATCTCGCAAAAAAGAAAGAAAGAAAAAGAAGCACCCAGTGGAGATTTCTGTGCCTTCAAAGGGTACAGGGATTGTGGGGAGACGTCTCAGCCAGTCATGTGCTTGCTATGAAGGCGAGAAAGTGAGTTCAGTCCCAGGCACTCATGTAGAAGGGCAGACACCATGCCTGTCACATGTCTGCGCCGCAGCACCGTGGAGATAAACACAGACAGGTCAGTCTGGCTGAATCTACAGGATCCATAAGACGATTCCAAAAAAACTGATGTGGAGAGTTATTGGAGGGTGGTATCCAGGTTAATCACACATGTACCCATTCTCAGGCATGCCAGCATATATGAAAATGTACAACACACACACATGCACACACACACACACTCACACACACACACTCGGGTTGAGGGCTCAATTCCCAATACTGCCTTCACCTCAGATACCACTTGCAAGCCCAGTGCGTCTCCAGAGATTCCAACCAACCGGATGTAACCCGAGCTTCCCGCAGCAGCCTCTTGCAGGGTTTGATTGTTCAGGGAGACCCTTACTTCCCAGAGACCATTAGCCACAAACTTGCTTATTAACATACAAGGGCACTTACCACCTGGAAGGTCCCAAGCATTATCAGATCTGCCTGCCGGGAAGCAAGGACACAGACTCAAGTGTCTATTTAACAAGTCACACGGTTGAGCCCACTTAAAATAAAAGCCTGACAATGACATTCAGAGGTGAGTAAATAAAAGTCAAAGAAGACCCAGTTCTGGGGCTAGCGAGAGAAAAATGAGACAGAAGGCCAGGCTTTCCCCCAGTGCCTGTAGTTCCTGTTTGGTTCCCACCCACCACCCCCCACATCTCGTCTTGCTGTTCTCTGAAATGATGGGAAGTTAGAAAGCCTATCATGGCTGATGGTCACCGCGACTGAATTGCTATTCTCTGCTCTGTGTGATGTTTCCCTCTTCACAACACACACTTCACAAGGAGGAAATGCGCCTCGGAGACCCCCGAGCTCTAAGGTTGTCTCCGAAATTATGTCTGTTGTTGTCTGGCATGCTTATCATTTGTATATTGTAGTACTTTGATTCCCAAAAGCTGCAGGCCAGCCCTGCTCCGGCTCCACGCATTTCTGGAGCCGTAAGCAAATGTCTATCGTGGCACCAACACAAACGCCAGTGTCAGTTCACAGACTGTCGCAGCCAGTTGGCAGTTCATATCTTCTCTAAGGAGCAAAGCCTGTCCACAGTAACAGGTACAGTGTTGGAGCTGAGTTGTTAGAGGGGCCTGCTCTCACCAGGCTGCCAGGTGATGGTAAGAATCCCGAGAGCAGGGAGCAGCTGCAGACAAGCATTCTCCATCACGCTGGGGCTGGGGACCACGGACAGACTCTTGATGGATGCAAATGCCCAAGAAAGAAATCTTAAGAAAATACTGACCCACATGTCAATCACAAATGTCAAACTCTGATGCAGCCTTGTGAGTTTCCCACCTGTGTAAAAGGTGTAAAACTGAAGCATATTTTACAGAGCAGGATTCTTAACTATAATTATGCGCATGTGTATGAACACGTGTAATTACGCTATAGATGTGATTATATATAATTGTGGTATGTACGTGTGTTGATACATGTATGAGCAACAGATGGAAGGGTAAACAGGAGCTAGAAGGATGGTTGATATAAATGTATATAATATATGTAAAATATATAATGTTTATCTCTGTCATAAATGACATCTTGGACTCCATATATTTAAAATTCAAAAGGGCAAAAAGAGTAGTTTCTGATGTATTCTTAATTAGTATTTATATATTTAAATATAGTCTAACTAGATCATTTTCAGTAGCATCAAGGTTCAATCTTAATTATTGAGATAATTAATGTGGGGAATGAGGAGAGGGCTCAGCTGGTAAAATGTTCCTGCTGCAAATGGAAGGACCCAAGCTTGGGCCCCAGAATGCATGTTTTAAAAAGCCAGGTGTGGTGTCACATACTTGAATGGCCGGTGCCTGCGAGGCCGAGGAAGGTAGACTTCTGAGGTTCTCTGGCCAGCTAGCCACCTTCTCGGTAAGTCCTAGGTTCAGTGAGAAACCCTGTCATGAAGCAAAAGATATGGACAGTGTCTGAGGCAGGACACTGAAATCCACAAGTCCCCCGAATCCACACCAAGAAGCCACAACATAAAATGCAGCTCACCCTAACTCGCTTCAGACAGGGCACTCTGTACTGGCTCAGCGGCACAGCAATAGCTGTTGTTTTATGAAGGAGCGTGGCATTCATTCGGAAACACAACTCAGCCTTTCCTAAATAATCAGCTAACAGGGACTATGCTTGCCATTAAAAGGGGGCACACTCAACTAGAAGTTTCTGCCCCAGTGAAATTAGTTCAACCTCGGATATGGCAGAAGACTGCGTATTTGCCATGCATGCTTCCTTTTGTATTTTTCCTTTTTTCAATAGCCTTAAGAGCTGAGATTGTGTCCGTACTGTGTCTGCCTCGATGTGGAGTGACATGCGCTTATCGCATTTGCACACACATGGGCTCAAGAGAACCGAGAGGCCCTGGTGTCAAGCCCACCGAAGGCATGAAGTCTCAGCAGCCAACACTTTCCCTCCAAGCCCCATGGCCTCCATGGTATGTCTGTGTCTCAGGCAGCTGGGAGGGCGCCTCCTCTCCCTCACACCTGTTAGCTGGACATCAGGGTTAGGGGGTGGGCATCTCTTCAGGGCAAATGAATTACCTCTTCAAAGCAACAAAAGACCAAGGTCATCAAGGTCATTATTAAGGTGTGTGTGGGGGTGGGTGTGTGTGTGTGTGTGTGTGTGTGTGTGTGTGTGGGTGTGTGTGTCTGTCTGTCTCATGTGTACTTAATAGCAATTAATAGAAAAAGAGGCTGTGAATTAGAACAAGGAGGGGTAGTTGGCAGGCTTCGGAGGGAACATGAAGGGATTATAATCTCTAAATAAGTAATTTAAAAGATTCTTGGAGGGATGTTAACCTCACTACTAGAAAACAAGAACATACATCAATTTTATATTTATACAAAGTGATATTTGTGTGAAAGTATGTGGCAAATTATAGAGTTTCATTCTGATCATGAGATTTTGATAGGAGTTAAATTGTTATAGGATATCTTCTTTTTTACTTATTGAAAAGTTGAGGATCCCTAAAAATACCTATGAGATTAGTGTCACATGATATTTAAAACCATCCCCTGCCCATAATCAATAATTATCAAACTTGGTATAACAAATAGAGAGTTTTTAATCTTAATTCCTATGCATTTTATTTCTGGCACACACACACACACACACACACACACACACACACACACACACACCATTAGGCTCAATCTATGTGTTGGAGTGCTGGTTTGAGGAAAAGTGAATTATTCCTAGTCAGTGTCTCTGATTTCCTCCTTTTGGGAAATGTCAGCACAAAACGCAAAATAAGAAAGTGTTTCCTAGTGCTGAGCAATTTTGATTCACAAGTCACTTGTATATTTCCTTCCCAATAGTGCCCCCCTGATGTTTCAGAGGGTCCCACTGCGGTCCTCTAGAGAGCCTGAGATTACCAGGCCTCTCTCGATATTGGTCTCAGACTTCATTGGGATGTCAAGCAATGAGACAGGGACTTTATCCTGTACCAACTATATATTCTTATTTTTCCAAGGTCTAACAGTAATGAAAAGCTAGGTTTTCGTTTTTGTTTTTGAGGAAAGGTGAGGGTTGTCCAGTGATCCCCGAGAGTGTCACAAATGGTAGTCTGAATTCGTGGAACACATGAGCTCCGGGCTGTCCATTCACTCATTGCTCATAGGATGTCACTGCAAAGGAACCCATTAACCCAAACATTTGCTCACACATCAGTGTGGATGTCTTCTCAGGGCCCCAGCACCATCAGGGGACATCCATCGGGTCATCCCTGTGCCTTGGGGTGGGGCAAATGAGGAATGGGCTCGTACATTCCCCTTTCATTCTGCCCCGGCTTCCACAGGAGACAAATGCTCGCCCTGCCCTTAGACCGTTCCCGTCGGTCATATTCTCTTAATTCTAAATAAAATTGAATTGTGAAAGCTTTGAAGTCAAACTCAGATTATGATTGAATGGTGTCTGAGTGTGACAAAAATGTTCTCTGTTGTCTGACATGCTATTTGGGTGACAAACTAGAAACTTCTAAGGGCATTTATCAAAAACCAATCAAGCATTCAAACCCAAGGACAGCTTATGTCTGAGCCAAGTTCTGAGTGCTTGGATAAGAAAGTTTGCTGTTCTTTTCTGAGTTGCTGAGCTATTTTTATTATGATGGAGCTGGATAGCATGTAGAACATTTCAATAAACACCAAGTTTTTTGTTGATATATGAAAGTGTACTAATGTAAGAAGCATTGCTTTTAATGTGATTTTATTTTTGGAGATTCCATAAATGCATACGATTCATTTTGGTCATCATCACTCCCCACTTCCCCCCCATTTAATTCAAGAAATGTAGTTCTTAAAGGTGCA